GATTAGTATGGAGTGCCAAGAGCAGGCTCGATCGTGGGCTGCATGATGGGGGAGTAGCCCACTGGTTTATCGTAACTCCCCCGCACTGAGACGACAGCACACCGACCCACGCTACCAGGAGAGGGGTTGTGTAACGCCGCCTGCAGAGTCCTGATTCCAGCTCTTACGCAATCGCCCGGTCTCTTCCGCCAGGGGCGCGACTGTCGGGGGGCCACAGCTTGCACGAGACCTCGTCGGTGCACGTGGAGACGGTCAGCAAGACGTCCTCGGTGGCCGGGGCCTACGGCTCAATGCCCAAGTTCTCCTCGGACGCCAGCAAGGTGGTGTCCCGGGGCGCGGGGCTCTCCAAGGCCTTCGTAGGACAGAAGAACACCTTCACCGTAGACTGTTCCAAAGCAGGTAAGAGTGAGAGAGCAGCCGCTCGCACAAGAGCCGTCGTGATATACCCAGGACAGGAAGAGAGAGGACAGAATATCCTGGGGCACGCAGACACCCACACGCTGGCTTTTGCTCAGCTGGGAGGTTGTTTCACCTACACACAGAAGTAGGAATTTGGTCTACCTCCATCTTCCTCCCACTTATGCAGAACAGCAGAGGTATTCAAACTGTGGGGCACCGCCCCCTGGTGAGGCGCAAAGGAATTGCACAGGAGGTGCTGGTGAGGGATAAAAAACAGAGGACTGTGTGTGTGGGGCGGGGGGTTGAAGTAGGGACAGAAATTGCAAATTTGAGGAATATTAAACATAGAGAGAATTACATCCTTCCCATTGAGCTGCAAGGTAAAGTTTATCCGGGGTTAGTGGGTGTGTGTGGGGGGGGTGATCATTGGAAATATACAAATATATCAGTACAGAGTCACAAGAGGCCTGACATACAGAAACAGAAACACAAAGCAGACAAACTGCAGACAATTTAGAGACTGAGTGTCTTTTCGGCTGGAAACCTGTAGAGCACAGGCAGCACCAAGCAAACACAGTTTTCTAACAGGTCAGTGATGTTGCCCAGTTAACTGACAGGTGCCCGGTCTGTCCCGCAGGCACAAACATGCTCATGGTGGGTGTGCACGGGCCGAAGACCCCGTGCGAAGAAGTGTACGTCAAACACATGGGCAACAGGATGTACAACGTCACGTATACGGTGAAGGAGAAGGGGGACTACATCCTCATAGTCAAATGGGGAGATGAGAACGTTCCGGGCAGTCCCTTCCACGTCACTGTACCGTAAAATCACCCCCCAACCCCCAAAATGTCCAGAAATCCCAAAGGACAGACTTCCATAAAACTGAACCAAAAGAAACATGTTTATCTCACTGGGATAAGAATCTGAGAAGCCGTAGTAAAATTTTAGTATTAACTTAATTTTTAGGGCTTGTTCGGTATGACATCATACCAACAACCCCATGGATTTTTTCCTCCTTATTTTGTAACGTCAGCCTTCAAAGCGTTCTTTCCTTTTATGATATTTTTGTATGTTTTATAGAATGCGCAGTGGGGAAATAGTGATTTTATTTTTTTTCCTTCCTGTACTGCCCATCTCCGAGGCCCCTGATTCTTGTAGTTCTAGGCCACACCTTTTTTACAGTCCTTAAAGGAAACTCAACCACAAAGTGCCTTTTTTTGCTAAGCCACGTTACAAAACACAGGCCAATATCAATCAAGAGAAGATCACTTTTGACTATCAGTAAAAATTTGGATTTATTTATTCTTTTTCTTTGGCTTGTATATGACAAGAATTTGTCTTATTTTTTTGACCGAGAAAAAAAAACTGATCAGACTGGTAGGTTTTTCTGTGGTGTAACAGCCCAGGGTGAAGGATTGATTTGTACCATTTTGATTGATTTTGTACCATTTAAAAAAAATGTAGGGATGGTTGGTCACGCGAATGTTAAAACACAGACGGTGCCATTAAACAGTGTTAGAGAGTGACATTTTATAGTGTTTTGTATGTATTAAAAATGAAAAGAAATTCTAATTGTTTGATATATTAACCTGCTGTTTGGTAAGACTCTGCAGACTTAATAAAGATTTAACTGCTAACTTGCCACAAAAAGCACAATGACGTGTTTGTGTTTTGATTTCAACAACAATGGTGACAATTTCATTATAGACAAATGTTTACGGGTATTTACAGATATATTCAGTCGTATTTTAATGTGCGTATTTGCGACTATATTGTTTGATTGTGCTTTCCTGACACTTACTGGTGATAAATTGACATTACAATTTTACCTAAAATGAATTTTAATATACATGTATTTCTATATTATTTGGACTGAAATGTGCACTAATTTAAGATGTTCCAAATTCCACTACGCATGTAATCAAATTCATCAATACTTATGTGGAACTGCGTGCTTTTCCCCCCAACAAATTGAATTTCTAATTCATTCATTCATTCATTCATTTTCCAACCCGCTTTATCCTATTGCGTCGCGGGGGGTCCGGAGCCTATCCCGGAAGCAATGGGCACGAGGCAGGGAACAACCCTGGACAGGGGGCCAGCCTATCGCAGGGCACACTCACACACCATTCACTCACACATGCACACCTATGGGCAATTTTAGTAACTCCAATTAGCCTCAGCATGTCTTTGAACTGTGGGGGGAAACCGGAGTACCCGGAGGAAACCCCACGACGATGCAGTAAATGTAGTTAAATGTGAACTATGTGCCATTTCTATGCGATTTCTATTTGAATATAGTGACACCCCCTTATCCGCTTTTTGCCTCGAACCACTTCTAAGTTTCAAATCATGCACCAAGCGACCTCAGACTGTAAACTGGCGAGATACTTTTAAACTTTTCTCATTTCAGGTTATGTACAGATACATGATATAACATTTTTCATTGTAAAGTGTAGCCTATATCTTTTCATAGTTCCTTTGTTCCTTTGATGGGTGTAAAAGCAGTTTCATTGCTCTATCATCCCTTGACACATGATTTTTTTTTCATCGCTATATTGTCTCTTGAGAATTAGGCTAAAAGGTCCTTTTCATTCGAGAGAGTACAGTACTACAGTATATAATACGTACAATGTACTTTTTAATGGCTGTATATTAATGTTGGTAATATCTAACTGCGTAATTGATCAATCAGACTTTGCCATATGTATATACGCCTTCATGAAAATCACGTTACATAGGCGTGAATATGACTTTAGTCAGTTGGCTGGAGTGAGATTTTCAATTCGAGACAAGTCTGCACACACATACAGACGCATTTACATGTATTCCCTTGTAAATGGTCGGTTTGTCCCCAAGCTTTTGGTGTAGCTAATTTTAGGACCTGACGGAGGGTCTGCGGATGTTTCACAATTGTAAGCGGTTTGGCCATCTGTGGTAGGTGTCACCCGAGATGGTCAATCCTATACGCAACATTGGCGGCCCGCCTAGGGCGCCATCTTACGAGAGGCGTGGACTAGCTAACTTAATCTAACTTTAACTATACTAGTAGCCCAGTTGACTATAGCAAAGATTCTTAAGTTACACCCCTGCCCACAGAAACTAATTCTCCTTTTTAGCTTGTTGATTTGGTTTTATTTGATTTGTAATCCTTTTGTCGCCCGAGTTTTTGTTTGTGTCCTGAGTGGCAGGGAATTCTTTAAACCCGACTTTAAGTCTGTGTACTGTTTACCCTTTAAATATAAAGAACCTCCTGGGGTCCATCATTGCCTAGACTCCCCACTCCCCAAGCAAGCTAACATTATATAATGCAAAGAAAATGCTTTTATGAATGTAAATTACAACATGTGGTAAATGTCAACATCTGTCTGTGAGCCAGTTCTCCACGATCTCTTTACGCCGGTACATCGTAAGATGCGTCCATGGGCGTAAATTATGGGGGGGATGTAGCCCCCCCCAATAAATCAAAACCAGCTAATACAACCCCTCCAATAATCATGTTTCCCCCGTAATGGGTGGAGACCTCAACCCCCGCAATGTTCCAGCCAAAGTGCGTCACAATTTGATCAAGGTCGTGCGATTTGCCTTTAAATATATCCATATGCTGAAACCATCCAAATGTCCTAAAAGCAAAACCGAGATTTTGATTTTGGATCGCTGTATCTAATGTGTATGAAACTTCCGTCCCTCCATAAGAGAATTAAGAGTTCCCTCTAACCGTTTATACGACATAGTGTGGCCATTAGCTCAGTAAATGGTACTCGAGCCATCAGGTACTATATAAAATTACAGATTAATATTTTCACATACTGAGTGTATAATGCCAACGGACACGGACGTTGCATTGCGTTTGTTAACCTGGCTGTAATCATCATTTAATCTACAAGATTGTACCTTGGAAATCATAGTTCATGAATAGCTGCACGAAGATCACGATAATTGTGTTTAATTAGACATTAATCAAGCCGTATTATTTGGAGCTGGAAGCTGGACCGGGGAGATCTATTAAAGGTCCAGGCTGGGTGTGTTAAGGAGACCAGCAGCCCCCACGCACCCCGCCTATCAGACAGCGATCCTTAAATAACTGCCCCAAATATAGCAGACCGAGCGCTATCTTTAGCCACCTCACCCCTGATGGAAACATCAGGTACAGGTACCCGAAAGGTTGTCTGACAATGATGAAGACTAACGACTCGATAAATATAGCTTTGAAATCCAACGTTAATGGGATGACCATACGCCGTCAGTCATATCTCGGTTTTACCGAGTAACACTAAACTAACCAGTAGGCAGTGGGTTAATACTGACGTCTAGCTAGCCACGTGGCTGCTGTTCCGTTTCTTAAATCACTGATAAATATTAGTATCTGTCTTTTACATATGGATAGGCAAAAGGCTTAATATTCTTTCTGTTTAATCTCTGTTTTTCTGTTGAATTATCAACATCCAGATGGTATTTTGCCGTATTAGGTTTTTCCATGTAAAACGCTAATTGCTTTACCTAATACAGCTGGAATATAAAGCATAGTCTAATGGTTTAATTATGCGGAGGCTGACAATATTTCGTCGTGTTCTGCTGTAAATCAAACGCAGTCGTAAGGACTGATTCGTGTATTTGCTGTCGAGTTCTATAGTCTATGTAAGACGATCACAACACTACAGCTTTACCCTTCGATGGAAGGCTTGTTAGAAACTAATGAAGTAATTATCGTAGTTCCACTTGTTAACCAGCTGGAATTCTGACTGTTTGATAAGGAAGAACTCAGTACTGTGATGCTCTTAAAATGTAGGTGATAGGGGAGGGAGATTAGACAGGGTAGACAGTTTAGTCTTTGTTCCATCACAGTCTGACCTTAATTAATTGCATCGCTTTTTTTACTGCGATGATTCATCTGGCAGCTTGCTCATCTTTTAGTTTGTCCTGGGTGGCTCAGTGTCCATGTTGATTGAAGATTTCAGGCTTTTTGAATAACGTGGTGAGTACCCCATGGTGTTCCATGTACTTTATGGTCAATTCTGGATGTTTCTTGCTGAAGGTCACGTTTGGCCGGAGACTTGTTGTGAATGCAGCTTTCTAGATTAATTTTAATGTTCTGAGGTTAGTTTGCTGACATATGGGAGGAGAATGTAGTTTTGCCCATCTTCCACAGCTGCTAGAGGCCTTGTGATACGGGTGCTCATGCCCGAGAAGCTGGGTTAGGAGCTAGGCCAATCATGACGGTTTCCAGAAGAGCAGGTTGTGGCTTCCAGGGAGTGGAGTTTGCGTGTGGTGGGTTTTTTTTTTTTTTTTTTTTTAAACCCTTTCTAATCTATGTGGGCTGTCTTGAGGTATGTGATTCAAGCAGCAGACACACTAGACCCCAATCTGATCACTACATTTGACAGCAGAAAAAGGGATGTGGGCACTGAGTGACGACTTTCTTCCCCAATTCATTGTTTGTGAAGACTGATGCTTCCAAAGACGGGTAAGGGGAAGATCAGACTGCACTCTTAGGAAGCCAACCCAGGATTAGCATATACTACTGTGGCTTACCTGCTTAGCTTATTGCTCTAATTCATTCAATACTATAACTTTTATAAGCCAAAATGTAGGTCTTACATGCTACGAGATGGAATATTAAAACCTTTGCGTGGAATTACCAATAAGACTGTAGAGATCAGTGGGGAAATACTGATGCTTTGAGTTGTTTATCTAACAAACAGTATTATGTACACATATGCATAATATTGCTGAAATAATCCATACAAGTGGGACAGTAATTAAAATGTTAAGTAAACGAAGCGAAGCTGTTAGATGAGATTCTGACTAGGTGATGTTGGGAATACAGTGACTCTGGTGTTTAATTGCTGGCTGCTAGTTTTCCCCTCCGTTGGGAGGTGTTCGACTAGCTACGTAATTGGTGCTTGCTGAGCATAGGGTTATAGCCCGGCTAGGGCATGTGGCTCTGGGTCCCGTTCATCCCCAGGGATCAGGGTTATGAACGATGGTCGGAATTGGTAGCAGCTCCTAAAGGTGGGATGTGGGATATTCAGAATATAAAATGTAGACTACAGTCTGCATACATTGTAAGGATGTAGTCAATACGCTTTATATTACCCACAATGCAGCTCTTCACCGTGCTTATGCGCAAAGCCCTGCTTGAAAACCTCAAACATCGGTAGCAAACACCACACCGAGTGTAATGCTGCGTGCTGAATAGGAATGATCCTGCCTCTTAAAAGGCGTTTTGTAAGGCTGACATTGATTTAGATCCGTGGCTCCGTGCCAGTGAGATGCAAATCGAGCGTGCTGTAGCTGCCAATGGAGGTTAGCAGACTAGCGCTGCTGCATTCCAAAGCAGCTCCGTGGTCACGCCGCTTATTCTTCACATACATCTTATTTAAACATGTAACACATGTTGCAGTAATAATTGTCTCTCTGTGATCTGCACCTGCTGACTGCAATGGACCCTCGCGTCTGGAACAGTGGTTTGCTTCACTCCCTTTCTAAATCTGATCATAAAGCTCTATTAAAGCTAAATGCATCGTGTGAAGACACCTCCACCTCTAGAACATTAAGTTTCTCCTCCTGAGCCTAATGTGTATTTTAGTAAAAACAATGTTTTCTTGCAATTCCCGATTTTAATGCCTTGGCTTGAAGGAATACCAGACATTAAC